AAAAGAAAAGAAAAGAAAAGAAAAGAAAAGAAAAGAAAAGAAAAGAAAAGAAAAGAAAAGAAAAGAAAAGAAAAGAAAAGAAAAGAAAAGAAAAGGAGACCCGCACACGCTCTGCATCCCGAAAAGGGTTAAGGAAGCGCCTGGTGGAAATGTGCCCGGCACAGAATAATGGGACGGCTGGGCCGTGCCCGCCGCTGGAAGGCACCGAGGTCCGCGGTGCGGCCGGGCCGGGTCGCGGCCGCCTCCCGCGCCGCGCGGCGGGACCCGCTGCACCGGAGCCGCCCCGAGGCCCAGGTAGCGGCAACGTGAGGCTAATAAACCGCCTCGCTGCAAGGGCCGGCGGCCCGGGCACGGCAAACAGCTCCCATCTCAAAAACAAATTCCCGGACAGAGTCTTAAACAGGCAAATAAACTTGCCGGCTCTGTTTTTCAATCAAGCCTTTTAAGTACTAGGCTGAGGCAAATTACAGGCGCAGGAAAACCTGCTGAAACTTAGGAAAGTGTTATTTTACTATCTCAGACGGGTGGAGGGATCTGGATCTACCTTGGCCGCACTAAATTGCCTGTAAAAAAGTGGTGATAAAGTGTAAAAGTAACAAGTGCCTCCTTATTCACGTGTGTTCCCCTAATCTGATCACCTTCTGTCTCTTTATGAGGCTACTGGGTGGCTCGGGGCTCCCCCCGGGCCGGCKGCGGGGCTGGCGCGGGGGTTATTCRGGGATACGGCGAAGGCGGCGGAGCAGAAACGCGGCCGCGCAGGGGTGCGGGGGCTGCCGGGGGGTGCCCGGGGGTGCGGGGGGTGCCCGGGGGCCGCACAGGTGCAGCGCGGCCCCGCACGCCCCGCCAGCCCCGCACGCTGCCCCGCCGCGAGCGAGCGAGCGAGCCCTAATATCTGCCATTTTTTGCATCTCTGTCTGTCTGTCTGTCTGTCTATCTATCTATCTATCTATCTATTTATATATATATATATATATATATATATATATATATATATCCCTCTCTCTCTATCTATCTATCACCTTGTTTCTACCCAGCGAGGCTTCCTTGCTTTCTTCTATTTTTTTTTTCGGGCGAGGGGCAAGGGGATTACAGCTATTTTTTCCACTCACGCCGAGGCCAAGGAGCTGCGCGCTCCAGGTATTCGCCTCTACTTGCGAATTAAAAACTCTCCTGAACATCAGCGACAGTCACACAGCCGGCGTGGTATTTATTTCATGCACGAAGAAGTAGAAGCGAAATAATGAAAGAACTGAGTTTGATCCCGATTTATAYGATTTTCCACGCAGCAGCGTGAAGGCTACAAAACATTTGCTKGTCGCGGCGCAGAAAGAGCGCGCTGCGAAGCTGGAAACTTTCCTTGTTGGAGGGCGGAATTGCGCGGGTCGCGCAGCCGCTCTCTTTTGCCACGAAACTGAGCCCTCTTCGAGGGGAAGGAACACGAGCGCGAAACGCAAATATATATATATATATWTTTTTTTYATACGATTTCCTTTCTGAGCGGATTATAACATGCACCACAACTGCGGCAGCRAAAAGCCCAGACCGGCAGCCCGAGGAAGAAACTTTACAGACGGTGAAGGCGGTGCGGAGCGGCGCGGCACGAGCAGCGCTGCGGCGCGAGCGGGAGGAGAACGGGGAGGGAAAGGAAAAAGCAGGGGACGGGACCCTCTTCTTGCAGAATTAGCCCCAAAGGCAGGGACGGCGACCTGGAGATTTAGCAACATATTTGTTTTCAAATTGTGTCCGCCAGATTATCCGCTTTTAAATCACCTAATCAAATGCAGGTTGTTGCTGTTATTGTTAAGTTTCAAAGAGAAGATGATGATGACCCGGAGAGATCTTTTGCTTCCCCTTTTCCACGCTGTTCCATTTTTTCCCTTAACAAATAAAGAGTAAATAAGCATCTACTTTCTACGTCACGCAACTTATGCAACATTTCCCGAGACTCTTTTTTTTTTCTGCTCTTTTTTTTTTTTTTTTTTTTTTTTTTTTTTTTTTTTTGCAGTCGAGAATGTAAATCGCAATCGACACGAAATTCAAGTGAAACTTGCCCAGATGTGTCAGTGAAAATAAAGACATCAGCTGCTTTTAGAACAGGACGTGAAAGCTGGCGAAGTTTTGTTGTTGTTTCCCTCTTTATACATGTATACACATATAAAAACATCCTTGGAGTTAAAAGAAAAGATTTCTATCATAAAGGAGAAACAGATGGAGAGAGCGTAAGGCAAATAATTAAATAAATGGGCGTTTGCGTGTCGATGGCTGAGCCCTCGCCTCGCGGAATAGAGACCTTCGGGCGGCCAAACTGCACAAAAAAAAAAAAAAAAAGTGCTGGAAAGGCGCCTGAAATTACGGCATTTAGATCAACTTTGCGCGGGTGACTCCAGCGGGCCGGGAGCCGCTGCGCCGGCTTCGGCGGCCGCGCTGCCCCCACGGCGCATCCCGCCGCGCTGCTCCGCACCGCTCCGCGCTGCCCCGCGCCTGCCGCGGAGCCCCCGCGGCTCCCCGCGCGCCTGGGCGCGATTTTACGCGGCTGCTCGCACATCTCTAGTGGTTTCATTCGGTTTGGGGGGGGTGCAGGGCCGGCGGGGTCCCTGTGAACGCCGCACCGGGGCCCGCCGCTTGTCCTCCTCTGTCTGGGGCATCGCTCCCTGTCCCCCCCCTCCCGTGTACATGGATGCGCACACACACACGCGAACATACACACACACATACACACACACACACACACATGCATACATACGTACACAGCCCCCAGCCCTTGCACACAGCGCCCACTATAGGGCCCGGAGCCTCTCGCACCCCCCCGACCCCCCCTGCAGCCCCCGGCGGCAGCAGCAGCAACTTGCAGCGCTCGCCACTGAACTTTTCCTCAACTCCTTCCCCCGCTCCCGCCACCGCCCCGCAGCCCCCGGCCCGGCTCCCGCGGCCGCGACCCCCGCGCGCGCCCCGCGCCGCCGCCGCCGCGGCCGGAGCCGAGGCCGGGGCCGCGGATGCTGCAGGTTGCCCGCGAGCTCCGCGGCGCATCCGACACGTCTGTGCAACATGGCAGAGAGCGAGGGGGAAAGCCAAGAGAAAGGGGGATTGCACCTACTTGCGGCCAGCTTCCTTGCCCTGCCTTTGGATCGCATGCTGCCAGTCCCGCGGCCGATGCTGGCGGGGGGGGGCTTTTTTTTTCCTCCTGGCGCTTTTCCTCCTCTTTTTTTTTTTTTTTTTAATTTTTTTTTCTCCGCTCCCCCTCGCCCCGTCTCCTCTCCCGCACACACACTCTCCCTTTCTCTCAATCCCGGCTCGCTATCTCTCCAGCATTGTCAGTTCGGACACCTTCGCACATGCGCACGGGCGGCTCCCCCCCGCTCTTCAACATTTCAGCGCCGCCAAAAAAAAGTTTGCAGCGATCCATCACGGCCGGGGGAGCGCGGGGGAGCGCGGCGGGAGCGGGAGCGCGGCCGCGCCCCGGGGCTGCGGCGCAACCTGTGGCGGGGCCCCCGACGGCTCCGTCCGCCGGCGCTGCCCGGGCACGCACCTCGCT